CCCCCCTGCCTGCTGCCAGCACCTGTGCACCCACACCCAGTACATTACAAAACAGTTTTATGCAGAATTGATTAGGAAACCAATACAGTTTCTAGCACCGCCATGTTTTCACTTCAACAGATTTATTTCCAATTTGCGTACTGTTTTAGTTCTGGCTTTTATATTGTCGCTTTGAGAGTTGTTACTCTGAAGTTTTACTTTCTTTCATCTTTTGACATATGGGTTCAGCCCATACGCGCAGTGGCCCCAAGCCAGCTGCCATGGTCTGGGCAGGCCGCTGCCCTGTGACCCGGGAGGGACGGCATACCGGCCTTGGGACAGGTCACCACGGTGACTTTGCAAAAGAAACAAGTGCTAATACTCATTTTCTCCCTATTCTTGCTCGTACACTGTTGTAGACTAAGTAAAATGTCTTTTTTTAAAAAAAAATTTGCATATTCCTGAAGGAAAAATATATTTTGTTTTTACAAAAGACTGAAATCAACTAAATGGCATTTACTGCGTACATATTTTTTTTTGTTTTCTTTTCACTTGATGAATATTTTGCCAAAGTGTTTCCAATAAAAGAATTCCACTCGACCTTGTTAGCAGGCACAGAGTAAAAATCTGTGTGGCTGATTCCTCCGAATCAGTGGCATATACCAAGAGAAACTTGGTCCAGAAGTTGCATGAGAAAAAGTATATAAAAGCTGAACAGAAAAATAAAGGTAAAATCACAGAAATGTGGATCGACCGAAAGGTGTTTCCTCAAAACTTACCTTTTAACAGGATTTTTTGTGAGTCTGTCTTTTTCTCTTTCTCCTGTTGGGTAGCAAGGAGAGGTGCCACTGCTTCTGCCGTGACTTTTCGGAAGGTGTCCACGTGTGCAGGGCATTGGAGCGGGCAGTGCAGGTGGAGCCTTCTCCCGTAGACGGTGCCCTACCTTTAGCTTAGCGTTACGTTATCGTGATGTCGTGTCTCCTCAAGAGGTAATGGCAGGGGTTCTGTTCTGCTTGGGGTTGCTGCAGTCTCCAGATAATCCCTTGATTACTAAAAGCTACTTACAGCAACCTCAAGACATCAAAAGCACTTTTTGCCAAAAAGAAAGGTACAAATCATGGAAATGAGCCTAGAGTCAGTGGGTATGTTTATGCTGCACATACTTCACTGGAATATAAAGATACCAAATTACCTAACAGGCAAGGAGTCTAGCTGTGAAAGTACAGAAGTCTAAGTTTAGCTTCCTAACAGGCAAAATGATCTCATGCTGTCTTGCCAAGCCCAGCAGCGTACAGGCTGCATGACACACATGGGTACCAGACAGTTGTCACTGCCTGTGAAGGACTGGACTTGATTAGTGGCTCATAAGGACTCCTGAATTGCAACTTACAAATACAACGTGTCTTTAGTAGAACAAGAAACTAACAGATAATAGGAAAATGTACTTGTGAGGGAGGAGAAGAGATCATCCAGGACACTCAGTCAGCTAGTAACTGGCCATAGCTAGCGTACTCTGGCAGTGTGACTTCAGTTCAAGTATCTTAAAGAGTCAATTACTTCTACAGGTTGATAAGAAGGGGGCAGAGCTTTTGGTTGTGGTGTCCCAGAACCCTCTCATCATTAGCTGTCTGGTAGTAAAGAGAGGCCTGAATTACTGACTGTGGTCTCTTGAAAGACAGGAAAGGTCCAACTTCCATGGTTCTTGTGGTCCCTGCATGCTTAGTTGACTTTATTTATCTGTAGTAGAGTTTATTCATAGTTTCCAAAAGAACTCCTGAGATACTAACAACAAAATTTGGGTAAAAGACTCTAGTTTGGATTTGAGGGAGAAGCAAAGGGAAACTGTTCTTGATGTTAGCTTGAAACAAAATTACGACCATCGTTCAGCTGTAGACCTGTTTAGAGCCATGACCAGGAATGCTGCTCAGCAGAAGGATCTCAACAGTATGACTAACAGTTAAATTTGCTAAGGTGGATATGACCTTGAGTGCAGTAAGAGGCAAATCATTAGGCAGGAGTCTGGTACAGACCCTAAGAATCTGCTAAAGGTACATACAATAAGCCAAACTTTTATCAGTTGACTTTGTCCAGTATGCAGAGTCCAAACCACCGCTGGCAAAAATTTAGGTGTAGGTAAAGTGAGTAAGGTTGAAAGTGACATTTAATATATATAATGTTGCTAGACTTCCAGGGCAAAGGTAAGTTGTTGTCGAGAGCCAAACTAAAGAAACAGCTGGAAGTTGTCTCCCCAGAAGTATCTATAGACAGCAGCTGAAAGGAATCATGGGAGAAATTATTCCTATATATGCTAGCACGTTCTCTAAGCATTATGTAACACTTAGGAGAAGTAATATCAGGCATAAATCTGACTTACATTTCAAAAAGGAAGAGTTCCTGTCATCCCTTATGCTGCATTGCCCCACCCCAGTAGGCAGTGGGAGAACGTTGAGCCGAATGTTGGCAGATGAGCTGATGAAACCATCTCTGTTGCCTTGAATATCCCCAGCTGTGAATGCGGCCTGCGGCAAACACTGGAAATATGAACTACTAGAGACGCATCCTCAGACACTACACTCCCATGTTTGTGGGTAACAGACGGTTTAAGTAAAACTACACAAGTGGAGTTATTTCAGCAAGGTGCCTTTTCTATCTGGGCACGATCAGATCTAGTGGCCTCTAAGAAAGAAGACAAAAAGTCCCTTTCTCACCTCAGGCAGCTTGTTTCAATTGCACAAGAAGCCTTTGACTATGATTTAGGACAGCTAACATAAGACAAGTTTGCTGATGTGGGAAAGTAACAGGACTATCTTGGCAACATGCTTACGGAGAATGACCCTGGGCAACAAGGCCACAAACTTTGGCGTACAGAAAGGTATGTTAAGACCAGAGTACGGCATATTTTAGGGGGTTGGACCTGGCTGCAGACATGAAGTTAGTGGTGCTTCCCTCTTCTGAAAGAAATGTGCCAGCAAAGATTGTGGCAGCAAGGATCTTTGTACATGAAATGTCCCCAACTGTGAAACCTGATGAAACTCTTAAGTCTGTAAGGATGGATCCCAGCATGGATACTTCAGTACAGGGCTACACCTTGCCCCAGCAGGCTACGTCTGCAGTCATCAGGGGAGGAAACAACCCAAGTGAGGGCAAGAGTTTATATTGTTATCCCTTTCGATAATAGGAAAGCCTAACAAAGTAAGCTTCATCTTTAGGTTTCATCTCACAGTATTGGTCAGGGAATGAGACCCACAAGCATGAAACCCATACTGAGAACCTGGACATACGCTCCCTGATATGGTCAAAAGCTGCCCGGGAAGGATGCAAAGCATCCTGTGTACTAAACCACACGTGGAAGCACAGTATGTATACCATGTCATACGTTGCCATACTAGTGTACGGGAATAAAAGACTTAGTGCAGAAACCCACAGACTATTGTCAAGCTGCCTGCAAGGCCTCCACGTGAACGTCAAGCTTGTGGCTGTACTTGCAGAGCAGCGTGGCAAAAGCTGTGTAAATATAGCAAGCCATTTTGTGAAGCTGGAGGGGTACAGTCATGCTATACTGTTTCCTACAGGATTAAGGCCTTAAGGGGGACTATGAATGTTAGAGATCCTTGGCTTTGGTTCAGAGAAACACCTGGAAGCTTGGATGCGTATAATGTCACTTCTCCAGCTGGGTAGGAAACTCATAAAAATAGGCTTCCTTAAAAAATATTTCACAGTCCTAGATCCCAGGCAATGTTGTCATGCCCAGGTGTCCTGCTGCATTTGGTATTTCTGCTTTTACATGGATTTACTCCTGGAAATGGTGAGATAAGTAGGAGTTTAAAAAGGAGGATGAAGCAGAGACAGAAGCCTTAGCAGGAGTTTGATTTCTGAAATCAGGTTGAGTCTCAAGGAGCACTTTCTCTGATCAGTTCATTCATTTGTAGGGTTTCCAGCTGACCTGAGGTGCTCTGTACTTATTCTATATAGGATTTATGGACTGATGGGACTAGGAAAAAAGTAGTTTATGGACCTGAATATACCTTTACTCTCTCAAGTACAAATCAGGAGTAAGATAAAATTAGTGTGAGAAGGAGACCCATATTTTTTTCAGTTACACCCCAGTCCAAAGATTATATTGTGGGCGTGGAAGAAAAATACAAACTAGTGAATCATACATGCTGCTTAGACATTGAATTGCTTTCCTTAAAGTTAAATAAATTGGGAGAACCATAATGCGATTGCAGAGGTGTCAGCAGGATACAATTAAGTTGTGAATTGCCAAGCAGGGATGTAACATGGGAAACTCTTACTGTTGCGAGCAATTCTATTTGGATTACTCACAAACAAAACATTTCAGTCAGGTTGCTCACAAATACTGTTCAGAAGAACTTCATGGGCTCTCCTGTAGCTATTTCAGCTTGCTTCCCTGGAATAATATTACATTTATGAATGTATCCATCTCTGTATACATTCTCTTTTCCATCATATATGTTTGCTTTCACTTGTGAAAGTCATGCTCATGGTTTTTTATCTTGTCTTTAATGAGCTGTAGCTCGTTGCAGTGTATTATGTATTATATTTAAAGTACCAGTACAGATATGCCACACTCTGTAAAATGCAAGAACATCTCTTACATATGGAGAAATTAATCATTTCCAGGGAAAGAAAAATTATAATTCGATCAAGGCAACTCTGTTCTTTGTTTTCAGACAGCAAATGCACTATCTTAAGGACATCTGAAACTCATCTGTAAATACAAAGTTGTCATTCCTTTATACAAGTAATATAATTAAGCAATGTAAACCATTAACAGAATAAAAGAGGTTAAATTGCCTTTTTCACTCAAAACTGATCCCAACTAGTTCCTGATAGGAAGTTGTCCTGATAGGATGCATTATTGGCTAGTCTCACTACTGAGACTATTGTCAATGGGCTGAGCCACAAAACTGGACATGGGTAGGTACACTCCCCACTAATTGCTATTCAGAGTTTTTCAGGTGTCCGTTTTAGAAACAAATGAAAGCATCATTTGCCTGATGCAATATGTGAGGTTTTCCGGTGCAAAGCCTGTATTTATTTTCTCTTCGAGATAGAACTTTAGAGGCCAAATCATATACTGCGGAAAAAATTTGAAGGTTCAGCTTTAGAAAAGGAGGAAACAGGAGCATGTTTTCATGTTTCCCAAGCCTGTTTTATAGAATTCGTGCTTTCCTGGACTTTTAACAGTCTGTAACGGATGAGCATATAGTTTCTTGAGTATATATTCACTGAGAATGGCTAGTTAATCTTAATTTCCAAGTACAAGACCCTAAATACAAGACTGTGGTATAAAAGACTATCAAATACACCAGAAGGCTGCTGCAGCACCCAAGGAGAGTGCCGAGGCTGCGGCTGAGCAAGCGGGAAAGCTGGTTCTTGTCCTTCGTGACCGGTGTGGCTCCACAGATCACAGCCCCGTCTTCTCTGCTCAGTTCTGGATGGCAAATGAGCCTTCCCGACTGGGGAAGTTAAACCACCTGCTTTATTAGAGTTTTCCATTAGGTCTATAGGACATCCACTTTTCCTGGTGCCATGTTAGTGCCTTTAAAGTTTTGTTTTGATAGTTATAGAAATTTATTTTAGCTCTTCTTTTGAAGTAGGGATAAAGAGGTTTATAGGAACACGTGCGCAGCAAATGCATCACTATGTTCTAATTAATGAATTATCCATTCAGTGCTACGATAATTCACTTTATCTCTAACCATTCCCAGTGAATTATTTATATAGTGACATTTATTAGAAAACTGCAATTTGCATTGCTTTTACATTATTGTTCTCATTATAAATCATATTTTTAATAATTCTTTAGTGCTTGGTCTCATCAATAAAGAAAAATGGATGGTGCCCATGAAGCATTTAGCTTTATCTTAATTCTGTATCCCAAACACCATTGCAAATAGCACAAAAGTAGATTCATAATACTTTAAGTGGCTGTTCTTTCCTTTTGTACATTCCCTTGTCTCCTTTTCTCTCCTGTATGCCAGTATCCCTGAGTTTGTTCTGTAAAAGCAAAGGATGATTCCCGATTAATGGCTATTTAAATAACAAAATTACGTTGCTATTGTACTTGCTTCTTTCTGTCCCAGGCAATGACTATGAATTGATTAGCGTTAGAACATTGGAAACTCCTGTGAATTTTAACATTTTATTTGGAATGTTCTATGTGCATTATTGAATGATTTTATACCTCCTGATGCAAAACTGATGATATCTCTGCAAACCTCTGGGGGAGTGTGTGAGGTCATTAAAGTTAGATTTGCAAAGAAAATATATGGATTTCTCTCTCACATTATTCTTTCCTGTGCTGATAATGCTGGTTTTGAGCTCTTGTTCAGAGTGACTCATTTGTATTGAAAAATTCTCTTATCCTTTATCCTATTCATTTACCTTTGCAAACTTTTCATTTCATAAGGGAAATACTTGAAACATTCCTAGAGGAAAACGAGAACTTATGTTTTCAGCTGTTAGTGTTGTCTCCAGAGATAATGGTCACTGAAAGGCAGCCCAGCGTGAAAAGCAAATATACATATCAGAAATGAAAATAACAATTTATACCATGCCTCCTTCCTGCCTTCATCGCTGATAGCTTATTCTCTCCATGAGGGAGGATTCCAGAAGTAATGCTGGTGTTTTGGCATCCAGGCATCTGCATGGGAAGAAAAATGATGACGTTTCATTAAAAATTCTCCCCAGAATCCTAAGTTTGTTCTATATTTCTACTGATTGTTTATTATTATTTTTATTTTTAAATTTATTCTTAAAACGAAGGGTTTTAAAATTCATGGATTCATGGGAGCTCACAACTTAATTAGCTCCCTGCCAGTAACTGAGGGAGAAACACTGGCAAACACAATCCCTCCTGAAAGCAATGAATCCCTCTGTACTTCTTACAAACAAAATCTTAGTGTGTTAAGCCAGGTGGATTGTTTAAATAGTGGGGTTTTTTTCCTTCAGAAACAGGTATTATATCTGTAACCTACATTTTTCTGGTTTAAATAAACTTTTTTTTCAAAAGTGAATAGTGACAGGTATTTAATGCTTAAACTTACCACTCTGTATTAACAAAATTTGCATAAAATGTATAATATTTAAGTAATGTATTCTTGGTGGTTAGGTTCTAAAGAAAGCTATTGAACAGGGAAGAAAAATACTGTGTATGCATCCAGAACCAAAGGTTGTTGAAATAATTAAACAGCTTTTAACAGCAGACAAAAGAAATGTTTTCTTCATTTCAGTTTGATTTACTTCAATAACTACTTCAAAGTTAAGGATCTGCTTAGAAATAGAGTAAGCTGAAGCATCATTATCTTTAAATGGTCTATGAATAAATTCTCAGTCTGGGATGCTGAGACTTATGAATTCATTCATTAACTGTACATAAAATTTGCTTTGCAGTTTTAAGTATAAAATGTTTGATACATTTTTCCTCTGTATACAACATATTTATTGTAATTTTATTTAAATAATAAATACACTTAAAAGGTTGGGGTTTTGCATTTCAGTTGAATTCTCATTTCCATCCAAAGCAGCTTGATAGGAGTCGTAAGTAAATAAAAATTAATCTGCTAGCAAAGAAGAGTTGTCATTCATTTCTAACAGAATGCTATGTAAGTGTTAAGCATTTGAATAATTTTACTGAACTATATCACTTCTTAAATTGGAATTAAGGTATTTTTCTGGTAGCGTATGGAAGTAACAGATTAGTTTAAAAACTAGATTCAGTTGCAAAGCAATTTTCTTCTAAGTTTACCTAGCAACAACAATCAAACTCACTTGGGGAAAAAAGAATAAGACACATTCAAAATAAACATAGAAAGCTTTTTAAAAAATTTTGGTTTATAGTTTTTGTATTTTAAAGTGAATAAGAATTATTTTCACAAAAAGAATGTTTGAAAATCTCATGAGAAATAACTTTCTATTGAATTCTTGTTGTGAAAAATATTTGACAGGTTTTCCAGAAATATTATAGTTCAGGGCCTTATAAATGGGCAATTCCATGATATATGTGAGACAGAATGGCTATATGAACATTAAGTCATAACTCTCTACTTTAGGAGCATCTGTACTCAGCATTTTAATTCAGTAGAAAATTCAACATTTCTAAAATTAATTTAATTTCCATCTGGAAGAAAATTAAGTTTAGACATTTTCCACTTTTAAAAATTCTGTTTAAAAGTGGTGGAAATATCAAAATGGGCAATATTTTTCCATCAGTAAGAGTAAGGCAGTTAGTTTAAACTTTGATGTAAGAAGAGTTACATTAATTTATTTTTTAAATGTAGATTTATGCTTATATTGTTATTGATTTAGTTTATATGTATATGACGCTGGTACTTTAATTAGAAAGACTTGGTTGCTTTATATTAGGCTTCTTTAATGACACACAAAAATTGAAAAATTCATATTCTTTCTTTAAAACAATAACTGCAGTAGGTACTGTTAAATCACACAGCTGACAGAGACACCTATTCCCACCTTGCTGAGAGGTGGGAAGCAATGAATTTGTTTCAAACATAAAATTGCTAGAGAAGCGTTTCAGAGTGTAGTTTGCTAGCCATTCTTGTTCGTGTGTATCCAAGTCTGCTTATAAGGAGAATGAAATCTCAGTAGTAGAGGTCCATTTCTCAGTGCTGACTGAGCTAAAGGAGAAATAAGAGATTTCATGATGTGAGTGGTGAAAAGCACATTTAAATCAGCAAGGATTTCACTGGTTTCAACTAAGTGCTGATATACTAATTACGCCTTAACTGCATCTCCTGTTTCCTCCTAGGTCTTACTGCTGCAGCATCTCTTGTATCCCTGGCTTGGGCTTTGGCTTCCTACCAAAAGGCCCTCCGTGACTCCCGTGATGACAAGAAACCCATCAGTTATATGGCTGTTATAATCCAGTTTTGCTGGCATTTCTTCACAATTGCAGCAAGGGTTATTACTTTTGCTCTGTTTGCCTCAGTTTTCCAGCTGTACTTTGGGATCTTCATCGTGCTGCACTGGTGCATCATGACCTTCTGGATCGTCCACTGCGAGACAGAGTTTTGCATCACTAAATGGGAGGAGATAGTTTTCGACATGGTTGTTGGGATAATCTATATCTTCAGCTGGTTCAATGTCAAGGAAGGAAGGACACGCTGTAGGCTTTTCATTTACTATTTTGTGATCCTTTTAGAAAACACCGCCTTGAGTGCTCTCTGGTATCTGTACAAGGCCCCGCCGATCTCCGATGCATTTGCCATACCAGCACTGTGTGTAGTGTTCAGCAGCTTTTTAACAGGCATTGTTTTTATGCTAATGTACTATGCCTTCTTTCACCCCAACGGACCAAGGTTTGGGCAGTCGCCAAGCTGTGCTTGTGAGGACCCTGCCGCTGCCTTCACCCTACCCCCAGAAGTGGCAACAAACACTCTACGGTCCATCTCCAACAACCGGAGTGTCACGAGCGAGCGGGATCAAAAATTGGCGGAGAGGGATGGGTGTGTGCCTGTGTTTCAGGTGAGACCCACCGCACCGTCCACACCTTCATCCCGGCCACCAAGGATTGAGGAGTCTGTCATTAAAATCGATCTGTTCAGGAACAGGTACCCAGCGTGGGAGAGACACATGTTGGACAGGAGCCTGAGGAAGGCGATCTTAGCATTTGAATGTTCCCCTGCTCCTCCGCGGCTACAGTATAAAGATGATGCCCTTATCCAGGAGCGCTTGGAATATGAAACCACATTATAAACAAAACAAAAACACAGCTTGAAGAAGCTCCGACGTTACAGTCCAGATTAAGTGTTGACAGTAGGGCTGTAGGAATCACTAAACTGCGTACTACAAGTAGAGCAGCGAGCTGTAGTGTTCTTAGTCTGGCTATCATCATGATTATCATTTGATCCACTGTGTGCAGTCTGTCTGCAGGACACTGATACAGCAGCATCACCTGAAAGCCTCCAAAAAACCCAAACCCTGACCCACACGTACAGAGCAGTTACTTCAGCTGGGGAAACTCGACCGCGACTCCTTGCTGCTATGACACTCTGACTGCACACTACTTGCCATCAAACCAACAGGAAGGCTCTGACCAGAGCTTTCAACTTTAGCCAGTAGTGCATTTTATTTTAGAAATGAATGATCGATATTTGCGTAATCAATGGCAAAAACAAACAAACAAACAAAACCTTTTCAAAAATAACAAAACTGTAGAACACGGTGTTGCTGTTACGAAAACTGTTTTCTGGGAAAAAAAAATAGGAGCATAGTAGTCTTCAACACTCCCATAAATCAACCATTCAGGTTAGAATAGGTTTGCAAAATAGTTCTTAATTAAAAAAGATACATTGTCATATTCATAAGGCTGTCAATGGGAAATAAACTAAATTCTGATTAATTAGGTCATAAACATTAATACTACCAGAACTATTTGTTTTCTGTGGAATTTCAAAGTCTTTTTAAATGCAATTTCAGTTCTTTATGTTACTTTCAACAGAAATTCTATGCAGCTCACTTCTGGTTTTCAGGAGCTCTAGCACGTAGTGATGTAAATTAAATGATAATCATGATTCAGTGTTCAATTTGCAAAAAAAAAAAAAAATAATATATATATATGTAAAAGAACAGGGAAGTATAGTTTTCATATTCTAAGCTTTTCGGAGGACCCCATTCAGATATTTCGGAAGAAACTACGAGGAGATGAACACACTGAAACTTCTCTGTTTCAGGACTGAGAATGCGTGATTCAGTGTGTGAATGTATGCCGGGGTGACAAGAGACTGTGACATGCCATACCCTTCTAGTGCCAAACATTGTCTAACTGCAAGGTCGATATTGCCTGAGGGACCGATAACGAGTGGCACGAGCCCTACCAGAACAAGAAGCAGGAAAGACCAACCAAGTTCTCAACGTGTAGAGACAGCTCTGATTTTTCCCACCCAAGGTGAAAGTGATGTCTTTTAAAGGCTTTCAGCCACCTCTTAGTAAGTATATTCACCGAAGTATAATGTAAGCAAGTTATGTGGAAGACCCTCTTCTGCCTGTTCAAGACTTGTGTCCAGATAGGTCTAAAAATTACCTTGAATCTCTTGTAATACAGTGCTTTTGCTGCAAGCTGTTGGGTTTTAAATACCTCCCTAAATCTAGTCAATGATATCCTCCTTTATGTTAAAAGTATCCCCTGATGGTGCTTTCAGATGCATTAAAGGTGCAAGTCAAAATTTGATAGTATTTTTTTTAAAGCTGGTGCAGAGTGAAAAACTCATGAATTATTTCAATATTTTTGTAAAGTAAAAATACGGTATAAAAAGGTTACTTTTTATAAACCTCAAATCTTTTAATACATTTCATTCTCTTTATAGCTTAGATTTTAAGAATTGGTCCATGAATTTTATCAACTGGCTTCTGCAGGTTGATATAAACCTGGTTTTCACACATTATGGATTTGTTTTGCAGTGTAATGCCATATGAAAGCCTACATGGGTACTTTTAGAATACTCTATAAACCGTGGATCCTGCTTCAAATGTAAGTGGCTTGTAAAGACACCAAGCGATTCCATAAGAAACAATTTGTTATAACTATTTCCGTCCATTTTAGGAGAGCGAAGCAGAACTGAAGAGTTACTGTTGTAAATGGCATTGTCAGGATGGAGAAGACCTGATGATTGGCATTGTAACCTTCACTGTCAGGTATATCCAGTGTAGTCACTGCTGTATATGCTGCTGGGTAAATGTCAGTCTTTCCTATTATTAATATTTGTACTATGAAATGGCGGGGGTTACACAGCCTATTTTTATTTTGTATGCGTTCAATTAGCCATTTTTAACGTTGACTTTTTTTATTAGCGAAGTGTTCGATACCTGTTGTTCTTTGCTGGGGCGAGTTCCTCAAAACAAAACATCTGTGAAAGTGCAGGAATCTGCAAGGCAGAGGGAACTTTACACAGATCAGAAAACACCCATGCTTCAAGGGTTTCTTAGGTATTTTCAAATTAAGCAGTGGCCAGCTGCCTCTATAATAATTTTTTTAATAAAATAATTCTTTGATAGTCCAAACCTGAAGATTTGTACAAAGCGATTGCCCTTCCCTCCATGGCGATATAGCTGATTATTCAGAGAAAAGCACTCATATTTTGTCAGAAAATACACCACTGCAAGAACTGCTAAAAAAGAGATTTTGGGAGCAAGTCCTTCATCCCATCAAATTCAGTAGAGCCTTCACTCCAGAATCAAACGGTAGCTTGCACAAAGAAAGTGCTGTTTTTCTTTACAAACGATGCCAATGGTAAGCTTTGTAATCCAAGATGTGAGGGTCTCTTTTGGAAACAGTTCGATGTGTTTGCTGCTGCTTTAACAACTCAGAAATTCCAGCACGAGCGAGGCCCAGCGGGCAGCGCAGTCGAGCTCTCGCCTCCCTCCAGCATCTCCTGGGGAGAGGGGCCGCACCGCAGCCGTCAGCGGGGCTTGTCCTCTTCTGATGGCCTTCTCAGCCCGTCTCGCTCTTCCTCGGAGCTGTGAGCCCTTTGGTCGGGACTTACAGAACTGAAGAAACGTTGCTTCGTACAGAATTTAAAGGGTTAACGGTCTGGACCAGGGCTTGCATTGCAACGTTTCTGAAGAAGGTTTGGGGTGAGTTTGTTTGATTTGTTCTTGTTTGATTTTGGAAGGACACACAGGTGTTATTTATCCACATGGTTTTTAATATCTAGCATTTACTTTCTTTACTCTCCCAGCATTTTTAATTTTTTTTAATAATGTTTGTAGAAATGTTTATCTTAAGCAAACTACCGCAGGGCCTGCATGCATAGCGCCGTAGGTTCGCAGTACATGGGTACACCTTGTCTTCAGAATTCAATCCGGTTGTTCGAGGTAGGGGGAGAATTCATTTTACACTGAGTCAAAATTTGCTCTCCAAAATCTCGCTCTGTTACATTTATGACGTCAGTGATACTTGCACTGAGAACAGGGTAGCCACTGAAATCTTAACACTCAGATGACTACACGGACAGTTTCTTAATTTGCATTGCTGTGAATAGCCGCATTAAAAGCTGTAAGAATTTTTTATAGAAATTGTCAAGATTAAACATAGTCCACGTTGAAATTCTGTGATGGCCTTACGAACAGTTAATAATTAATATGCACTGTTCTTTTTACCACAGACAGTTTTAAACTCAATAAAGTTCAATTAAGACAGCAATAGCAAAACAAAAATTGTAAAAAAAAATCAACTTCTGCTTTTGAAATAATGAAAAAATCAGGTCTTTTACATTTCATTTCAGAATACAGGAAAATAAAAAAGTTCATAATTATATTCTGGTAAAGAGAAGCAATCACATCTCTTTGTTAGAAGTAAGAATTACAAAAGAATTGTTCTAATGAACTAAACAAATTTGCCAGCAGATTTAATGGTAACTTCTCTGATTGAAGACTTGGTCTTAAAATTTTGGGAGCTGTGGATTTGTATGTTACGGAAAAGACAATTTAACTGGTATTCAGTACTCTAATTAGATAAAGGAAAGGTAATGCATTCCCGTGTTCATTCAGAAAACATATAAGAAACTGTAAGAAAGATAAACCTGTTGTCTTATTTTAAAAGTTATTTGTTCTATAATAGGATAAATTTTTTTAATGAATTCTTTGAAAATATGTGCAATACTTTTTTCCTGCAGATATGATAATGAAAAAACTTGTTTCCACTTTTGTTTGTGTCAATTTAAATATGCTTCTTGTGCTAGAATGATGTTTCTGTGCTTGGTTTATATGGACCTGATGGCATATAAAAAATATTTTCATTGGCAAATCAACAAATTTTCTATTAATTAATTTCTATAACATTGGAGAAAATTTTCCTTCCGAAATTAAATGCTAGACCTCAGCTGCCTGATTTTGTAAACTTTGAAACAGAGAAGGTGAATTAAAATTTTATTTGAGTTGCAATTTTTGATATGTGGTGAACAGCTGTTAAAGCCAAATCCATTTAAAACATATGATAGTCTAGCCAATATATCACTATCTCCCCAAAAGAGCAATTCACGAGTGGTACTAAAAGTATGAGTGCTGCTTTATTGAGAAAGGGACTCCCAATCACACAATGTATTAATTTACTTTTTATTGGCCAGCAAATATTCACAGCTAGCCAGTTGGTTTTTTTAGAACCCGAATTAAACAATTTTGAAGTGTTTGTGATTTGATCATACAACTCCTTAAGAGCCTTAAAAGTGGTGCTGTACTGAGTTTTAGTTGGCTCTGCCAGTGGTTCAGCTCCCAAAGCCACTGCCCTTTCTCCGCTCCGTCCCTGAAGTCGTGCGACCCGGAGTGACTGAGATGCTGTGATTTCCTCTGCACCCCCTGCACTGCCTGCACAATGCCAAGGAAAAGACTTCAGCAGATGGCTGGGGTCCTACTGCTGCCTCTCGTGCTCCTGTGCGTGGTGGGAAGCAGAGTAAATTGCGTTTGTGCATCCATCTAAACAAGCTTATTTAGGTTGAGTCCCTACAAGAGGTGCGTGATGAAAATAATCACCACACGTGCCCATGAATTTACAAGCCCAACACTGTAATTACTAATTCTGTAGTATAACAATGCAGAATGTGGGAAGAATTGTCTAAATACACAATAAGCCATTTAATTTTGCTAATTGTAGCAATTAGACTAGCTCGCATGAAGCCCATGCTCTCAGCAGAAAGCCAAATGGAGTAAGTGGCAAGCAGCCATTTATATACCGGAGACATTATGTTATGAAATCCTCCCTT